CTACTGAAGGAAGTAGGTGCATGTGACTCACTAGCTCCTCCAACTCAGTGGACTCAAACTGTCAGGAGCTGTTAATGCCAAGATCCATTAACAGAGCATGAGTGGGGCAAAGGGGCTATGAGATGCTGCATCGGCCAGTAGCCAGGAGCCCCACCTGCTAGCGTTATGACTATCCTTTTGTGCTATGTAGCATCTATTTCTTTTGTTGCTGTAATGGCTAGTTTCTGGCATAGGTGCAGCCTGATCATTGTTTCCAAAAATGGTAAAACTAGATGATGTTATAATGCAGTTGGAACTGATGCCAAAGTGGGAGGCTGCCTCTCTCTACTCTGGTTTGACGCACTCTTAGTAGATAAACAAGGGCTGGGAGACCGTGATAGGAATCAGAAAGGGGTGGCGCAGGTGCTATAGTTGTAGGTGGTGGTACCAACAAGGGGCTTTCCACTCCATGGTGCCATTTAGAAGGTTAAGGGAGGGTGTTTACCATCTTACATAGGACTTCCCTTTTTGTCGACTAGGACCCCAGGGGTAAGCACTAAGAATCCAGAGGATAGCTGGTCCTTAACAGAAACACCTAAGAATTTAGCTTTATTTTTCATTTTTACATCAGCAATGAGAACACAAAGGAAAGTTTTACTCAACTTGACACAATCTGGCATTTCAAAAGGAGGTTAGTAAACTACATACAAATAAATGGCCCATTGTCATGAATTCAAATCACATCCTAAAGACTGGCAGAACAAGATATTCCAAAACATTTTACTATTCTTAAGAGTTTTACAGGAGGGGAGGAGTAGGTTTATAGTTGTTTATATAAAAATCTATATATATAAAAGGCTAAGTGACTGACCGGCCAGCCGGCCAGTACATATGACGCGCACTGACAATTTAAAAATAAATGTTGACTTGTGCATGCACGATACATGTAAGGCTCTCGCTGGTGCCAATCGCACACGAGTGTTTCAATCTATCATTGTTGATCATAAATTTGGTTGTTTTTGTTGACATTCAACGTGAACCACATTGCGATTTATTCATCAACCATCTGACGGACCAACTGGTACATATGACGTGCACTGGCAATTTAAAAATAAATGTTGACTCGTGCATACGCAATACGTATAAAGCTCCTGCTGGCACCAATTGCATGCATGTTTTAATTTTATAATACTATATTATATATACTATTTTGACATGTAATTTTTTGCAGTAATATAATTACCACATGAATCTTTCTTCTAATTAATTTCCTTTCAATGTGCACAAATCCGTGCACCAGGCCACTAGTAATATAATAATTAATAAATAATAATAAAAGAATAAACTCTGGGTTTCACATACTCACAATTGTAAACTTTTTACTTTGCCCCACCCTGTATAATGAAGAGATTATTCCTACCTACCCAAAAATATATTGAAAATAAAATGAAAGTTTTATATAGGATGCAAATGGGAAAGTTTATACTGTGTTTATAGGTATTAATAAAACCTGTTTAAATTTATTACAAATACATATATAAAAGTATATGTATACATGTATACACATGTGTAAATACATATAGAATAATATGTATCATGATACAAGAAAAGTTTGCCTAAAAGTGTAATATTTTTAAATCCTTGTTTGTATCCCTTCCGATTGCCTCCATCTTCCTCCATTAGAAGTAGCCGCTATGCCAAATTCTAATTATTTCCTTGCTTTCCTTTAGATATAGAAATAGATACATAGATAGATACATAGATAGATAGATCTGTTAAAAATGTATATATTCAGTTGTGTGTGGTTCTGAACCTTGTGTAAATGAGGTTATTGTATATATTGCCTGCAACCCGCCTTTTTGCTCAATTTTGTTTGTGAGATTCATTTGTGTTGGGAGTAGTAGCTGCTATTCATTTCAGTTATGCTTTCTATTCCATTAAAATATAAAATTTTAAGAATTCAGAAGTCAATAATCTGGGAAGGGTGTATGCAAAAAACTAAACCTGACAGCCCATTTCTCACTCAAGGCATTTGCAAATGCTGAAGTTCCAGTATGCCCTTCCTCCATAAGATTTTGTGATTCAGACATCTGACCTCCTCTAACCCCAGGCTGACATGGGGCAGAAGGGCATGGGGATGCTGGCTTGTCTGAGCCAATCAGAAAGTCTCGTTATCCTGTCCAGGGTTTGGTTCATGCACGGACATGTGCCTTAATTCCGGTAAAACATGGTGGTGGGGGTGGGGGAGTCTTTGGTGGATGGTGGGATGAATTCCTGGGAAAAGGTTATTCAGCAATAAAAAGTGACACAAGGAAGAGATGAGTTTCTTCTACTGGATGGTGTTGTGTCTGCAAATAATGCTGGGAAAAGTGGACACCATTTCGTAATGAGGAAGCAAGTTAGCACAGGGACAATCAAAAGGAATGAGGCCTGGCAGCCATGGCTCAGTGGTTGGGCATCAGCCTATGAATCAGGAGGTCACAATTCGATTTCCGGTCAGGGCACATGCCCGGGTTGCAGGCTCGATCACTAGTGTAGGGCGTGCAGGAGGCACTTAATCAAT